AATGGGGTGGGAGGAGGGAGGAAGGGAGGGAGGGAGGGAGGGGGAGGGAGGAGGAGGGAGACGGAGAGAGAGAGAGAGAGAGAGAAGAGAGAGAGGAGGAGAGAGAGAGAGAGAGAGAAGAGAGAGAGAGAGAGAGAGAGAGAGGAGAGAAGAGAGAGAGAGGGAGAGGGATAAGGAAGAGAGAGAGAGAGAGAGACAGACAGAGGACAGACAGAGCAGACCGAATAGAGGGGATGAAGCCTTCACGATTTGAAAAGAAATAAAAAAGAGGACCAATCAGGCTTAAATGCTCTTAAAAACGGTCATTTTTTTAAAAGGGGAAGTAATTTTAAGCTAAGAGAGACAGCCTGATTAGTCGATTTTGTTCCTGTCGCCTCGTGGGTGTTAAACCTCTGTTTTCTATTCAAGGCTTGCTTTTAGTATTTTTTTTTTTTTTTTTTTTTAAGAATGTCTTTTATAGTCACGCTCCCTTGACAAATTCTTTCTATTGAAAAGAATGTTTTATTAATACCCCTATTCTCTTTTCTAACTAAATCTGATTCTCAACTTCCTGCTCGCTCCCTCTTAAGCTTCCTCATCATAACAGTATATAATCCTGAGATAAAAGATAGATTTGATCAAAGCAATAAGAATGCAGTCTCCCCCTCTCCACGCACTTGAAAGAAAACGGCGTCTGAAATCAACGACTTTGAAAACTTCAGAACAAGTGTCTAATTTTTCCAGGAAGGAATAAAGGTGAGATTCTATTTGGACGGTCTTGGTTTTTCCCTCTTTCTTACTTTAATTCCCTCATTTTCTCCTAATCTCTGCCTTTCGCTCTGTCTCTACCTCTTTCTTCCTGCCTGGCTGTCTGTCTCTCTTTCTCTCTCTTATCATTATCATCAATCATCATTCATCAAATATTCAACACTATTACTACGGCTTTTATCATTTTTGTAATTATCATCACTAATTATTACCATCATTATCACTATTATATTATGATTATAGATATATGCTATCTTGACCTTGCTCTCCCATTGTCTGTCTTGTCTATCTGTTTCTCTCTCTTCTCTTTTCTCCCCCTTCTCCCTCTCCTCTCCTCTCCCTTCTCGGTCTCGGTCTCGGTCTCGGTCTCGCTCATTCTCTCTCTCTCTCTCTCGGTCTCGCTCTCGTCTCTTTCCACTATTTCAATTGTATTGAAAACATCCTTTCCAGCAGTACAATGTCTTGAAACCAAGAACAAAATCAATAGATATAAATTTCCTGCATCAGTATTTGAAACTAGATATGCTACTAAGGTGTATGACGACACAACTTTCCTTTATTTAAATTCACTCTACAGTGACTCTCACTACTAAATCTGAGCTAAAGTTTTTAAAAATATTCTTCCAGCTTTTACTTCAGTTTATTCAATGACATTAGTTATTTACATTGATTTCTGTAATTGATAATTAGTAAACGAGTTGCAATCCATCTATTCATGGGTTCCCTAAATTAAGTGATGAATATATTCCTAAACATAATAAAAGACTATTAAAAACAATGTAGATAAAAAAATAATAATCATCATAAAGATTCAAACTCAAAATACAATATGGTTATAATACTTTTTTCTAAATAAGTATAATAACACTGTGCAAGTCCATAAACAGGCAAATAAAAATCTGTCATAGACAGTTATCCTGTTTATTCTTATAAAATGATTACAATGGTAATGAATATTTCACAAAGACAAACTTCTGAATGGAGTACATTCTTATTATAAAAATATATACACTGTAAAATATATATGATATTAACCACTTGGTGCCGGGATGGCATGTGCATACATGCCATGCCTATTATGTGTGTTTAATTTAGTAATTGTTTTTATATATAGATGGCTCCACAAGTACTAAGTCACCAATGAGCCAATTACAAGAACTATCTCTCACCTGTTTACCCTTTTCCTTGATTTTCGAAAAAAAATTCAAGTGTTTAATACTGCTGTTTAGTAATGTCAATAACAATAGAGTAATTATATTGTTTACAATAAAAATAACTGTCAATATTGATAGCATTAGCTAAAAAAGGGTTTTTCTGCTATTTCAAGGAAAGGTGAGGTCACAAGGTCTATCAATTGACTTCTTTGTGGCTAAGCACGGGAAGGGCCATCTACGTAGAGAAAAATTTAACAAAACAATACTAAAGTTAACATGACATTTTCCCCTTGACATTGGGTTAATTAAATTTAAGCTTCAATTTTGACATTACTTTGCACTTAAAGAGTCATGTTAACAAATTATAGTAAATTCCAATGAAAGCAATTAAATACTAGCCCTTTTTCTACTTAATTCATTACACAAATCTTAAAATTGAGTATTTTCCATTTGCTAATACAATCCTTTATTATAAAAAAAATTGATATTGATTAGTACAACATAAACGATATGTATCCATATACAATGAAAAGTGGTATATATTCATGAATTCAAAATATGTATGAACACTTGATAAATTATTGATTATGAATTATGTA